AGAGGACGACGGGGGAAACACGTCGAAACGTTGCATAAAACTTTAACCAGTGATTGTTGTTCCATAAAGCTGTGTCTATATAAGATACAAACACAATTCAAAGTGCTAGTTGACCATTCACAACAAAATTAAATGCGAATGAAGTGAAAGAAGTTCTACATCAAATAAGGCATAATAATACAAACTATAGCAGAGTATGAGTAATAAATTCAAATTTATTGACGTTATTTATCTAAAACAAAATGTGTTTTTATACTACATTTAAGTGTAAAAAAAATACATTGAGAAAATTATCGGAGCAAAATTTGAAGGGAACTAAAAGAACTAAATAAAATAAACAATCCGTGCAAAATAAATTTTCCTTAAATAGACAATAATATGAAAAGAAATCATGCCTATTAATACCTGAATGATGGAGAGCTTGTCTGGCTTTTGCTAGATGAATCAAAGAAGTTAGTTCCATAAATCCAAATGTTCAAAAATAGATTACATCTTTCAGTACATAATTTTATTACATGTGTTATGAAGAACACAAAAAAAGCTAAAATTTATAGCCATAAGAGATATTATAAAGGAAAATGTCTCATTAGGTCTTAACAGGATGACCCACATTTATGGTTTTTCAGAAGTATGTATCAAATGACTTTCTTTGTTTGAAAGTGATAAGTCAATTTGGAATTAATATACTTGCAAATAAGATACTGTAATATATATACAAAAGATTTAATTAAATACCTGCAGGGTTAGTAACTCGTGGTGTTGGAGAATAGGTACTAGCTATTTCTTCTGCATCAGGCACATCTAGAGATTCATCATATGGTTGGTTTTGGTGAAGTTTAGCCTACAATTTACGATAAAAAATACTATTTTTTGGGTCCATAGAAATATAAGGTTCAGTGATTTTACATTTGAAATAGACACACTTCCCTCCCAGAAAATTCATTTGAAAATGACCTAATTTTTATACTCCAAATTCCCATCTGTACAATCATGTTTACAAGTAATAATATTTCCAGAGCTTGACATTTTCAACTTAAAGACATTCTAAGACCCTCATTAGTATTTTGTAGTTGATATTTCAATTCATACGAAAATTATTGGCAAAATACAATTCAGAAATCATTTTAGTCGGAGAGTAGTTATTGTCTTCAAAATATTATTAATAAACAATACTTGATTTCAGAATTTTCAATTGAAGCCCCACCCTGATCTAATGAGATATTTGATCTGCTAATACTTTGCATAAAACCTGGCCAGTGCCAAAGATATTTTACTGACAGTTTGAGTTTGTTTACATTAGAAACCAACATTGTAGCTCTGCTATAGCATTTGTCCAGATCAATTTATGAAAGTGTACCTTATATATCAATCGTACTTACTATTCAAAACAATCAAATCAAGTTTAATCAAGCTAATTGTACAACTCAATTGAGTAAATTGTCAAACTGACTTACGTTTGTTCTTTCTTCATCAGAGTCCGCCATACTTGTTTAGGAATTTGCTAAGGCTTTGTGGGAAGTATGAACGTTCGAGATGACCAAATCAAAGCGGATCAAATAGGGTAGTACATTACCATAGAGTTATATTGTATAAAGAGAGAGTATAGATTAATAATTATGTAGTTATAATAATAAATCAAGCCATTCAGTCCTTAATTTGTTTGTGAAAAGTATTAGTTTTCATTAGATGAAAAAATTTCAAAATGATCAGAGAGTGAAATAAGTTCTTGTGGGTGTAGCATTCGAATACTGTAAATTCTTAAGTTTTTTGGGGTATTTTCGTATCGTAAAATTTCGCCTGATATTAAAATCACTATTCGAGTCAATTGCAATTTGTTGAGATTGACTTACAATAATATCAAATTTATCACAAAATTTTATAGACTTGTCCATCACTCCATTATTCTTGGGTTCTCGTGGTATTATGTTCGAAACCAAAATCTGTAGCTAATAATTATAATCGCTTTATTTCTTCTTCTAAGATCTTGACTATTTTTCATATTTCTGACAATGTAAACAAAATTATGCAGATTTTTGTTATCTATTACGTAGAAATTGAGCGTGTGAATAATAAAAGTCTTCATGTCTTTTCCTGTCAGTAAAACTCAAAGACGGAACACTGTTGAAAGTGGAAGTTTTTTGACTCCTGTTGACAAGTCATCTGTCACAACATCAAGTGCACCGAATTTAATAGACAAACTCAATTCTACTCCTTCAAGTTGTGGTTCTAATATTGGTGGTTTGGGAAGAACAAATCTGTTTAATCTATTCTCCAAATCAGTTGAAGATAATTTACCTGATAAAGCCAATACAGTTATCAAATTTTCCAAATCTTCATTGTAAGTATGTAATAATGGGCTTGCTCATATTTTTACATATGATAACCCAACAGTCCAAGGGTACAATAAAGGCAACAAAGAATAAACTGGCCCTATTATGTTGAAATTTGTTTAGTCGATAATATGCAATATTGTATTAGTGTTGTAATAATATATTACATGAATCATAACTGAAAGTACTGGTATAAATACTAAAATTATGATTTTCTCATTTCTAACCATAACAGTACAAGCACAAAGTTCATTGTTGGACATGTTTCATTATCTAGCCTCTGATAACTAATCTTACAGGTGAGATTCTTGACAGCCTAGGACCTGTTAATTGATCATGGATGTTTTTATGTAAAGAGACATATTATATTTCTATCTTCAATATTTTTACTTAAGCTTATACACTTTTGTAAAAATGGAAATTATTTTAGATGTAGTGACCAGTGTCAGAAGTACTGACTGGAAAGTATCAAGAATCAGAGGGAAGACTAAGTGATTGATTCTTCATTGGGTCAAGTCTAATAAAAGTTGACTTTTGTGGTAACATCATGCACTCAAATTCATTAATTCAAGCTAGTATTAGAATACCAACTGGATACAAATCAATATTAAAGGTAGTCACAAATACTTGAGCAGTCTGAGAGAGATATAGACAAGATATGATACCCTACAATAGAAGTTCATTTGATTTGCTTATCAAAACACTCTTTCACATAAATAATTCTATAAATATTCTGATTTAAACTTAAATTGTGACATACTGGTACTGTTGACTGTTTGTGTAATATTTTGTTAACACTTGACTGACCTTTTCCTGTTCAATTTCCATGACTAATCTTTAATAATTTTCAGGTTCATTGATTCTAAAATCTGATATATATATTTGTACATAAACAAAACCATCTGTATCAAGAGAAAATTTGTACATTAAATAGTGCAATTTGTGTCATTCTTACTCTGGTATAAGGAAAAAATAATACAAATGTATTGTGACATAAATAATGGAGTTAATTTTTTTTTTCATTTTGAAAAGTGATTTTTCAAATGTTTCAAATGTAATATTTTAAGAACCATGGAGAAAAAATAGAAAATCTGCATGACTCAATTTTGGCAATCTTTAACCAACATCCATGTCTCATTCTGTTACAAACTGTATTGACTCAAATTATGAAAATATTGATATATCGTGCAATCAAGCTGATTTTTTATAATAACTATGGTAATTAAAAAGGATTGTGTTTAGAGCTAAGTACTGGCAGGTATTATTTATCACTATCTAGGTCACCTGAAACTAAATATTGATTATTTACCACAATGGTGGTTGTTATCAGGCCATATTTGAAATATACAGGTCATGATATATGTCAGATTAGATTAAAGAGAATATTTAACCAGACCTGTATATAATTCTTTGGTAAATTTTTTTTTTTTGCACAGAACTAGTTATTTAACCTTTTCCAATGAATCCAAGACTTCAATAGAGTCATACATCAAACAGTTTGGCACATTGTTATTTTAATATTAAATTATGTATAAGAGTGATTCAGTTATTGTTTTTAGACTGTCTGAAGTGTAGCCTGCTTATAATGAAGTGATGTTTTGTTTCTGAAATGAACAACGGTCGATCCTGAAGTACAAAATTGACTAGAGATGAAGACATTTGTCAGTTTTGTGTGATTTTGTTTCCAAAATTACAAAAGTATAAGGATGTAATCATCCAAAATGATAAAAATTGGAAATTTGTTGCAAGGTGGAATGTTATGAATTTTGTGTTCCCATTAGACCTATGCAGTGAAGGAAGTAGCTGAAAGGTCCTGAGAAATTTTCAATGAAGGAAAGAATATTGGGAGAATCAATTATTTTGTCTAGGTTCCAGATTGCCCCTTTGTCTACAGCCAATGAAGAGATACTAAGAATACATAAAAATGTAAAGTGTAGCTGGATTTAAAAGGACAATGGACAAGGAAATCTGATTCCTACCTTTAAAAAGTTGATGGGATATATCAAGGTCAATTCCAGCTGGATATCCAACTGGATATTAATTAAAATGTAATGAGAAATTGATGTATATAGAAAATTATTTAGCTTTATTCTCATATTGATTAGAATAATTATGTAATTTGATATGATGAATTCTCTATAATTATAGATCATTTTAATTACCTGGTATTTTTCTTTGTTAAATTCTGTTAAAGAGACATTTGATTTGCTAGGTTATTGTATGTGAAATAGGCATGTGTAGTCATGATAAGCTATTTTGTGGGTTTGTGCTTGTTCATTGGAATTTGACAAATCATATTTTTTGTTAATGGATTGGCAGTTTAAACTTTTAGATGTCAATTTTTGCTGATACTTTTCATTTACAAAAAAAGTATATATATTTTTAATTTAGATCTTAAAGTAATGTTTCTGTGGCGTTATAAAAGGAAAGAATTTATGAATACATTTTCATGTTTTTAGAGAGCATTATGCACTATACATATTAATTCTGTTAATTGTTCTAATTAAATTGAGTGATGTTGACAAAGCAGGCACATATGACATCATTTTTAGAATTCAATAACCAATTATAAGCTTGTGGTACCTTTAAGGCCTGAATCCGACTAGCAAGCAATTGCATCTTTCCATGGCCAGAGTATTTTGCCCTAATTTCATGAAATATTGTTATTAATATTAAATTCAGGTAAAGATCATTATATTTAATAGATATTATATGATGATTTAATGATAATGGATATCAATTTAATTGCTGTTTTGATTATAATTTCTAATTAAAACTATTTTCTAAATTGATCATTATTTCAAAACCAAAAATACAAAGAGGCTGTAACACTTGTCAGCATACATATTTTTATTTTAATGATTCGAAGCTTGTGTATCAGGACTCTAATCAGGTCACTAAGTTTTCATAATTTATGAATATAAAAGCAGGAATATTAATATTCTCTAAAAGCTTTTGGAGTTTACAGTAGTGGAAGTAGGACTGTAATTCTGTTATTCTTTAAAGCTTTTAGGAAATCTGGTTATGGAAGCAGAACTATAATTTTGTTTTCATTTAAATCATTTGGGATATTATGGTTATGGACCATGTGAATTGTAAATGTTTAGGAATGAAATGAAATGAATAGTACTGTACTGTCAGCTGTGTATCTTTATATGATATGTCATATATAATGATGTATTCATTTTATCAGTTAGAAACTAAGTGGCTTTGTTAAAAAACATAATATTATCACATCAATTTCATCAGCTACTGGCCATTTTGAAATATATATCAAATATACATTACAAGCTATGTAGACTCTGAGATTACGGGGATGCAGAGTTGCTTCAGAATTTCTGAGAAGGAATTGCTCACAACATCGGGCACAGTACTTATTCTATTTCAGCTCAAGTTTGACTCTAAAGATAAGACTAGTATACCATGTGTTTTAATTAGAATTTTCTCTTGAAACATAGGAGTAATTGAATAGAAGGTGTTGTTTTGGTGCTAAATATGTTAATTCACACTAATTCACAGTTTGTGCCCCAAACTGATAATTTTGTTAGTATAGGTCTATCAATTTTAATATGAAGTAGATTTTGTTCAGGAAACAAGAAGTTGATTAAAGGAACCAGTTAGTGTTTTCAAAGATGGCATTTGAGACAGATTAAATTCTAACATTGAAATCATTGCGTTGTCAAAGTGTTGGATTTTGATTTTTATTTGGACAATATCACATTTTTGGTTTTCTATCTATGAATGTATGAATTACCCGTAATGTTGAAATATTCAGGAAATATTGATATAAGTTATCATTTGATATGAGTAATGTGAATTTGACAGCAATCTAATGGTCTATTGTAATTGTTCTGTTTTTACAACAGAGATTAGGGTGGTTGAAAGGTAACAAGTTACTATCCAGCAGAAGGCAACAGAGAGTTATTAGTTTCCTAGAGGAACTGAAATATTAGAAAATAATCTTATATGTTGTCATATGTGATTGATTTTGACTTGAGGAACATGATTCAGACAAAATAACTTAAATGCATCGTTCAAATTATGTATAAGTATTTTGAAATTAATTATCAATGTCTTGCATTTTGAATTAAAAAAACATGAAATTCACATGAAAATCTGATGGTAGTTTTTAAGTTATGTTTTACAAGGTATTAAAATGTGTATTGTTGATATAAGTATAATATTTTATACACTCACATGACATATATTAATTATTTATTTCAATATAGATTCACTCTAAGTATTATGCTATTATACAGGAACTGAGTATATTAATGGGATGATGTTAAGTTGATGTTATCAGTACAAACTAAAAGGATGTAGCATAATCATTTGTTATCCTTGAGTACTCTTTGAACAGGGGGTGGTAATTGAACCTAGGAAGTTATCGGTACTACAAACATGCTTTGGATCGAAAATTTCGTCCACTTTTTAAAATTTCCTGAACCGTCTGATAAATAACTTTGTGTACAAAATTTTGATGAAAATACTAATATTGAAAATTATATTTAAAAAAGTAAATTGGGATTAGGCTACCGAGGAGTTCATGGATAAAGATGACAGTGTGTCAGTGTTGGATGTTAATAGATGCACTGCCTTGGTCAGTGTTAGACATAGTTATATCCCATACAGGTCAATCCTTGATTTGAAGTGATGAGATATTACTTATGAAAAATGTGTATGTGAAACATTACAAAGAATTCAGCCTGTATGATACAAAAGCTTTAGAATGATTTTGTAGTTATCCCTTATCCAATTCTGTTCAAGAAAAATATAACTGACCTGTTTATCCTGAGGAACACTAATTCTACTGAGTAACAACAATTTCTATTAAGCCTGACAATGGATGTTAGTGAAAAAGTTAAACAACCAACATCTAGTTCTCCTGCTGTATTTAATATCTTAAAGTATCATTTACCTGGTAGAGATACTTTTATATCTCGTGTGTTAAACAGGTAAATTATCTAGTGAATGGTTTATAGAACTTGATTAGAAGGGTGGGGTTATTGGAGAGGCTGGAATTTTTGTGTGCTAAGCATCCTAGTTGCTGATAAGTAAAATCATTAAATTTTAAAAGTTATATGTGGTTAAGTTGTTCTGTACATTCAAAAATTAAAAGCAATCATTAATGAACATTGAAATCAAGAATGTGGCCTTCACTGTTTCTAAAAATTCCTAGAACGGCATTAAAATATACTCAAATCTGAATGTTTATATCTAGGATTGTAGTGATAAAGCAGAAATTTCAATCAATAAATTTTGTGCCACAATACTTTTTTATACGCCCACACATAAGATGGGCGTATATTGTAATCACCTGTCCGTCCGTTCACATTTGGTTCGTGCTCACTCTACAGGCTACAATTCTTTACAGATTCTTTTGATTTTGATTTTGTGTGTCAATGTCATTATGAAGATGATCCCTATTGATTTTCGTGATGATTGGATATTTTTTTTGCCGAAATATCGTGTCTGACTTGACGTTTCACTCTATTAGCTATATTGTGCAACTCGTGCTCACTCTACAGGCTACAATTCTTTACAGATTCTTTTGATTTTGATTTTGTGTGTCAATGTCATTATGAAGATGATCCCTATCGATTTCGTGATGATCGGATAATTTTTCAGCGAAATATCCTGTCTGACTTGACGTTTCACTCTATTAGCTATATTTAAAAACTTTGTGGAATTTCTCAGCATAAATAAATGGCAGTAAATATATATATCATTAAATTCAAACTATTGAAATTTCTTTGACATGAGACAAATCATACTTTAATCACTAAATACTGTTTTATCATTTCTGACAGCTGCCAGTGGGTGTATGTTACCTTGCCTAGCAAGCTATCTTTTAAAATTTTATTTATATTATGAATTTGATTGAGAACTTAAAAGTTTTAAAAAAGGTCCTCGAACTGACACAAGCTTAAAGTATTCAAAATCCGATACTTTCACTATAGTATTTAGAGGAATTTCTCTTTTTTTCTGACCAGTGGTATTTTTCAATTTTCGAATAACCACTTAAAATGTAGTATGAGTGATGAACCTATTTCTATATTATAGGAAATGATTTTTGATGGATCAGAAAATGGTAATAGCTCTGCTTATACCCTATATGAGCTAAGGCCTCCCTCACTCTCAGCTAATATTTGCTATTTCCTCTATTTTCTTTTATTCCTAACTGGGATCCCTGCTTAGTCTATGTGGAATTGCATTAGCCATTGTCTAAATCTGTAAGCTACAGTACATAAGTGAACAATTCTCTTTAACAGACCATGTTAATAGCTCAAAAACAGTGACATGATTTAACAGCTGTACATTCTTCAGCTGTAATCCCATTCACTGATCATCATGTTAGATCTGCAATCTAAAAGGACTGAGTGTCACATGTGAAGCTCTGTTATAATTGTTATGCTGTTGTATATTTTAGAGCAAGGTCTCGTGACTCCATAATGACCTCTAGTCAGGAGTCTCTGAACACTGTCTCTCTATCAACACCTGTCACTAAAGATACTATTACTACCTCTAATATTGGTGATACAGATCATGAAAGAAGGTAAGCTTAGTTTATTATATCAGATAATCTTGAAACAGAATTGAGTTACCAATGATTTTGATATGCTTTGAAATATCGGCTTCAAAATTGTAGGCATGGGGTTTCAGGTTCATTTATTTTAACCAAAGTTTTCAACAATATAAATCCAAAATGTTCAGCTTTATTTTATACAGTCACAAATACAGCATTGATTGACAATTACACCACAATAAATGTTAATGATAAAGTGGACATATAAATATTTAAAAGTGACTATTCGTAATACGGTGAATTAAAGTTCCTGGCCCCTCTACATGCGCTCTTCTTATGTGGTTAGCCTGCTGTTATACATCCTATAATATTCAACTCTAACGTTACCTAGCAACTATTGAGTGTGCAGTGTAGTAGACTCAATTTTCTATGTCAAATAGAATACATCACCTAATAATTTATCTGATATTAAACGACTACTATTTTCAATTCACACTGCACTGATTTGTGTTTTACAATTTTGAACTGTACAAAAATAGTAATGACAGTCTTAGAACGACTTTGCATTGATAAAATTATTAAAAAGTTTCTATTGGCTATTTCAGCCCAATTTAATTAAATACAATCCTTGAGTGCGGTATATTGAACTGTTTTGGTATTCCAATTGGTGTAAGGGTTATGCTAATGAAACATGGTTTTCTTCTTCTGCTATTATTATATATTTTCTGCTTTCAGTGAAACACCAGATGGACAAAGAACATTAACTCATCAAGATAAAGTAATTCTTGAAGAGGATGATGATGGAAGATTAAGTCCATTTCTTTCTGCTAATGAAAGCAGTAACAATAATTCTGATGATAAGGACAATCAACAAGATACAACTAGTGCCGAATCTCAAGAGGGCACCCCTATCAATGGCATTAAAAGTGATGCTGTGGACCAAGCCAATGATATCGATCACACCCGTGAACGCTCATTTGAAAGATCATTGGATAATATTATGGACAAATGCTCTGAGAAATCGTTGGACCTGAATTTAAGTGTAGATTCTTGGAATGGTTCTGTCAGTGATACGAGTTTGCGATCACCTGATCAATCAACTTCGTCTTATGGGACAAAACTTTCCAAGGGAGACAAGAAACGTAAACCTAAGTCGTCGTGGTACACTGTAAGTTTTATATTTAGTACTTGCCTCATTCACAAAAATTAATTCGATGATATTAGTTTTCCAGTCTTCTGATTGGTCAAACAATAAAAAGGAATTTGAATTAATTTTAACCAATCAGAAAACTGTGTAACTTATTAACTTACATAGCAAATGTATAAGTGCCCACCAACTGAAACATACGTTTTTCTTGATGACAGCTAAAAAACCTTTCCCAATATGGGTCATTGGAGTCAAGGCTGTTATATTGATTCTGTACAAGTATTCTAGTCATGCATGACCAATGGAAAAAAAACATATTACTTATAGACGTTGGGGAATTCCCAGTCCATTTCTGTGGACATGGGTCATGATTTATTTAGTATGTTTACATAGCTATCTGATATCCCACCATTCAAGTTTTTACACTAAACTGAGCTATTGAAAGACAGGGTTTGTGTGGAGGACATTTTGTGGTATTTAATTATATTGATATGACATATAGATTAAGGAGATGTAGTGCAGATAGGTTAAAATGACATTTTGATATTGGATTTATTATATATTTATTATAGTTTTTATAAGAGATTCGAACTGTATAGTGAATAAGATTTTGTGTTTTTGTAAGAATATTGTGATATTTTGGAATATAAACTGAACACTAATAAGATTTTGTACAAGGTAATCAACAACATGCCAATAGGTTAGGATATTGTGATGTTGTGTTAAGTTAGAGTTAAAGGAAGTAGACTTTTATATCTTGACACAATAGTTAGTTTTTAAACCCAGTTTTTCCTGTCAGTGAAATGTGTTGAAATGGCTGGTATTAGAAAAGTAGTTTTAATTCTCCACAGATCTAAACAGAGAAGGTTTATTCTGCTGACACTCATTGGACACTGCATGGTGTCAGATACAGAAAAGTAGGATGGAACTTCATAGTTTTAAACTTGTGTTTATTGTTCACCATATAATAAGAGTCTTATTATAAGACTCTGACCAATACCCTGTAAAACAAACACATGTTCTTGAATAATGTAATCTTATTGTTTTAAATTGAAATATTTGAGGTCATAGGGTCATGAAATCATAATTAGGTCTATATATGTTTAAATGTGACTATGAATTGAAAGTGCTGACTATCATTGATATTGTTGGCATAATCAGTAGTTGATGGTAATGTTTTATGTTGTAAATAATCACATAACAGATGCCTTTGTTGAGCTTTGGTTCATCATATTGCTTATGGTTGAGTCCAAAAGAAAACCAAAGATCTATCATCAATACAATCAATAGATTCTATTATTTATATATGTTTTTCCTACCTATTTTCAGATGTTAAGTCCAACGTATAAATCTCGCAGTGAAGATTATCATAAAATATTTAAAGATGTTCCGAAAGATGAAAGATTAGTTGTTGGTAAGATTATAAAAATGTTTAAAAATATATTCTTACCTAATTATGTACAATACTTGGTTATGTACTTGGTCTTTGGTAGGTTGGCTACAATAAGGGCAATTTCGTACATTTTGTCTTATTATAAGTGTATGTTATTTTGAAATGATATTTTAAAAACAAGCTATGAAATTTGACCAGATTTTTGATACAATACTTGACTATGAAAAAATTTTTTGTTCATGTTTTTGTATTTTAGATTATTCCTGTGCTCTACAAAAAGATATATTAGTACAAGGTCGTATGTATATTTCACAAAAATGGATCTGTTTTTATGCTAATATATTTCGTTGGGAAACTGTGGTATGTTCATATTTAATTATCAATAATAACTCTCTATCTCATTTCATTACTTGTATCTCTCTCTAGAGATAAGACACCAAAGTGCCATTATGCTTCAGGATATGCAGGAGACAGAAATTGGAAAAGAGTTTGTAGAGTTGGCTGTTGTAGAATTTTTACCTTCATCAGCCTCACACAGAGCAAAACAGATTGTAAGCTCTGACCAAAGGATTTGGATTTGAACTTTTTATCATACAACAAATTTGGAAATGCAACTGAAATGATCTTTTCAAAATTCACCTTAAATAATAACTAAATTTATTTTCTAGCTATGTATACCGTGTTCAGAAATAACAGCTATAACAAAAGAAAAAACAGCAAGAGTAATACCAAACGCTATACAAATAACAACAGAAAAAGAGAAATATTTCTTCACATCATTCGGAGCCAGAGATAAAACATATATGATGTTATTTCGACTCTGGCAAAATGCTCTTCTTTCAGAGGTAGGAATTCAAGGCCATTCTTTAATCTTCTATACTTACTTTCCAGCATTTAGTCTAACAAAACATTATAATAGGTGACACTGATAGTCCATGCTTAAAATTTGTAATTCAGATACAAGTATGAATACAAACAAGCCATTAAAAGATTATAGTTACCGTTACAGAATAGAATAGAATAGAATAGAATAGAATAGAATAGAATAGAATAGAATAGAATAGAATAGAATAGAATAGAATAGAATAGTTTATTTACAGTAAATAGGCCAGTGGCCCATAGATACATTATAAAATGCAATACAGAAAGCATAAAAATAATATACAATAAACCTTCAAGTACATTATTATGTAAAAAATAAAAATATGCATGTGTAAATAAAATGAATATTAACAATAAACACTGATTATTTATTGTCTAAAGTTGACTGCATCTGTACTTCAAGGAGTGATTTATGTAATTTGAAATAGAGATTAAAAATTCTTTGTTGTCAGTAGCGCAAAAGTTGTAGAACTTGTTCTTGTCGTGTTTTACCGTATTGACCAAATCTGGTGGTAAATACCTAATTCTTAGGTGATTTAATTCGTTACAAATACACATATAATGAAATATATCTTCAACTTGCTTTTTACTTAATGGACGTAATGAACTGTTTATGATCTCTTTTATTATATAAATTAATTACTAATGGGAGCAGATTCAGCCTCAGTTTAGTTATATTACGCTTTATCTTAACATCAATATTTAATGATAAATAATTTTCTTGACATAAATTGATTTTAAAACATTTATAATTGGATAAACTGCTGCTCTTGCTTAACTTACTTGACCAGTTCTGTATATATGTATATCATATATACTGTTACAGATGTAATGAAGGTAGCAGACTTTGTCAATATGAACAATGTCTCCTTCCCAATGGAACAAGTTTTATCACTATTGTCCAAGACCAGTAAACCTAAAGTTTATTATGATAATAACAATATTTTAATATTTTCATCCAGAAATTTGAATTGACCCTATTTCTCCCACTCAAATAAAGTCAGTAATATATGTATCATCATTATAAAGAAGTCATGTTTATGTTTGTGTAGACAGAAGTAATTATGTAACATCTGTATATAATATATATCGAATGTTACACTATATTCAATCAAAATCACAGAATAGATCAAATACAATCATTGCTGTACTAGTTCATTGAACAGTGTGTTTGGGTAGCTAGGATGGCTGTACGCTATAATCCTATCAGAAAGGGCGAATCTAATGAGATACATCAAATATTTTTTGGATTTGATAGACCCTCATTTGGTGAAAATAATGCCAAGGTAAAAAAATAACTTATTGTTTTGAACATGATAATGTAAATTGTTGAAATGTTCTGTAAATATAAGATGTGTTATTCATCTGATAATGAGGATGTAAGTCGTTGATATGTTGTTTTTATTCTGATGTTGGAAATGTTAATAATGGCACAATAAAATTTTGAAAGGGATATTCTACTGGATGATGATTAACTACTAAGTTAAACTAGTAATGATAATGAAGATGGTATGAACAATTTTAACCATGTAAACTACAAACACAGAAGTAAAGAATTAACTAAAAATAAAATGTATTCTTATGTTTTATTTTTCAGCCAATGAATCCTAAAGAACAATGGCAATGGATTCATTATAGTTATGGTGAAGAATTAGGTCTCACTTCTAGTGATGAAGACTATGTAGCTCCCCCTGGTATGGATGATCTCATCATGAAAGACAAGTTATCTTCTCCTGAAATGCCACCAGTTAAGGTAACTTAAAAAATTCTGATGATCAAAATATTTTTTACTGCAAGTTGGTCGCACAAAAAAGTTGGTACGAATTTACCAAACAAAAATTAATATGAGGTTGACAATTTCACAAAGTTGGTATGTTTCAGGAAATTCAGGAGCAAAAGTTGTCCATAATTTTGCAAGCATTAATTCATCAGTTTGTTCAATCTTCAATATTTGATCTTAAATAATTACAGGAATTAACAGATTCCTCTGATCTACATGGTACATCTGAAATGTTAACTATGGCTAGTAATGATGAAGATCCTATACCATCAGATGAAGTATTTAGTCAGCCTGGTCTGTCATTAGAGTCACCTCTACCTCTCAATGTAACTACTGAAATACCTACTGACTTTGGTGATACCACTGAGGATAGTGAAGGTAATTTTTTGCATTGGTTACCCAGGAACAACATTCAATAATACATGTTCTGCCTGACATTCTCCTTGTGTGCTTAATATAGGCATAGGCAGAATTTGCTGAACGTTTTTGATCTGACATTGAGCTCAGTTAGTTATGTGATTTCTCTGGCCTTTCAAATCACTTGTGACTTGTGAGTTTTTCTTAAATATTTAGCCAACTTGACAACCCTCTATAGAGTCTAGATAGCTATAAATATTTATTTGTTATATTTATTTTATGAACTCTAGGTGAAGTAGCATGTTCTGGACATGATCATCTAGAGAAACTATATGTTGATGAAGTATTTAATATGAATATAGATAAAATGTTTACCTTATTGTTCACTGATACACCATTCTATAGGATATTTGTAGAATCTAGAAAAACATTTGGTAAGTGTCAATAGATAAATTCCAATATCTGTTATTTTGAACCTGATGTGTAAATCGGAATATCAGCTAAGAAATAGTTTGATTAGTCATAGAATGACTTGGCATTGTAAGAATGAAGTCAGAGGCACTAATTGTCATCTCAGTTCACAGGCGATCATTCTCAATCAAAATTTGTAAAACCTTATGTACTTCTATGATCACAAATGTATCTTGTAGCTGATATTCTAATTCATATTGAAATAATTGGAAATATTTGCCTGTCAGACATTACTCAATGATTTGTAAGAAACTGGTAAGAAGGATGTAAAACTCCATTTCACTGCATTCTAGTTAAAATAAATGAAGATATCAAATTTAATGCTAAATATTAAAAGTTTCGGTTATTTGTTTGAAGATTTAGATATACCAAGTTGGGGAGAGGAAGTAGATGAGGATGGTAACAGAGTTCGTACAATACATTATACATTATCATTAAATCATTCTATAGGACCAAAAACATCTCCATCATCAGAGAGACAGGTATGATATTACTCATAATTTATTTTATTTTAATTAAATATATTAATCATGCAGTTAATATGCCAGATATATGTATATTATATATTTATGAGTTTGAGTGCTTGAAATTGATGATAAAAATGAATTGTAAATAAAAATCACAGAATTTTGTTTTTCAGTCTCATAAATCTCAGAAATTTGGATTTTGATATCTTAACACATTCTAGAGTTCTGTTTTTAGCAAATCAAGGAAAACCAAATTGACCACCACCATAAAATTGTGTTGTTTTTGTTATTTTCACAGACATGTTATAAACAGACTAAACCTGGTATAATATATTATTATATTGTTACTGTTATCTTTACAGACATATTATGAGCTGAGTAAACCTGGTATAATATATGTTGTTGCTGATATCTTTACAGACATGTTATAAACAGAGTAAACCTGGTATAATATATGTTGTTACTGTTATCTTTTTTACTGTTATCTTTACAGACATGTTATAAACTGAGTAAACCCGGTATAATATATGTTGTTACTGCTATCTTTACAGACATGTTATAAGCAGAGTAAACCTGGTTTAGTATGTTGTTACTTTTATCTTTACAGACATGTTATAAACAGAGTCAACCTGGTATAATATATGTTGTTACTATTATCTTTACAGACATGTTATAAACAGAGTAAACCTGGTATAATTTATATGTTGTTACTGTTATCTTTACAGACATGTTATAAACAGAGTAAACCTGGTATAATATATGTTGTTACTATTATCTTTACAGACATGTTATTAACAGAGTAAACCTGGTATAATACATGTTGTTTCTGTTATCTTTACAGACATGTTATAGACAGAGTAAACCTGGTATAATATATGTTGTTTCTGTTATCTTTACAGACATGTTATAAACAGAGTAAACCTGGTATAATATATGTTGTTTCTGTTATCTTTACAGACATGTTATAAACAGAGTAAACCTGGTATAATATATGTTGTTTCTGTTATCTTTACAGACATGTTATAAACAGAGTAAACCTGGTATAATACATGTTGTTTCTGTTATCTTTACAGACATGTTATAAACAGAGTAAACCTGGTATAATATATGTTGTTGATTGTCAGTGTGAAAATAATGGTATACCCTACGCTGATTCCTTTTTTGTGGTCACCCAATACTGTTTAACACGTGTCACTAAAGAGAAATGTCGCCTGCGTGTTACTGGTGAAATAAAATATAGAAAGTCTGTAATGGGCATTGTTAAAAGTAAGTGGTTTTTTGATAATTATCATTTCACTTCATTATATTTCCAAAGAAATAACATTTTGATAAATTTAGCAACTGAAAAATTTATGTAAGAATTATGAATTGTAATGAATTATAAAAAAACTATTATTTCAAATATACATAACATAGTACAAATGAAATAAATATATCTTCCTTGCTAATAAAATCTTGTTTTTTTTGTAGGTATGATAGATAGATCAGCTGTGGGAGGATTAACAGATTATTTTCGTGATTTAGCCGTCCATTTACGACGAGAGGTGGAAGAGAATGAAAAACTATTAGGTCATACAATTGCTAAGAAAAAGTTACGGAAACGACGAAAACCTACAACTACAACCTCAGAACCACTGGTAACATCACGTCAGACAGATAGACAAATATCTTCTCCTCCCTCACCACATAGAAGTAAGGCTCAGAAATTTTCGTATGAAACATTGAAATAGATATCCATTGCTTTGTCCAAATTTATCAAAATCTTGAATAATACAAATGAAACTTATATAGAAAGACGTCAAATTTTCAATTTATCTTTTTAGATATGACTACCTAAACAATTTAAAACTTTGGGATGTTTTCACAAAGCAAATTTTGAATTAACAAAGTTCTATTTATTTTCTGAGTATATTTATGTAATTATTTACCTTAAATCAACATAATCAAAAATATTTTTTTTCAATCTTGTGAGGTGCAGCCCCACAAAAAAGTTTTAAAAGCAAAGTATCAACAATTGACCAAAGTAGTACTATTTGAAGTTATTGCCCTTGTTACATAATGTGTATAATAATGTAATCCATTGTTATTGTATCTACAGATCCGAAAGAAGAAACATCAGTGTTATTAACAGCTGATTCTCTAGTCAGAATTATTTGTGTGATGTAAGTATTAAATGGCTAGTCATGTATATTTTGCTAGTCACTAAATAACTAAATTATTGTGGAGCTTTATAAAGGTTCTATTCATGTGTTCCTCTTTCATGTTTTACATCAATATTCAGCTTACAAAAGTTTATTTATCTTTTTCAATGGATTAAAAAGTAGTTTTTGAACATTCACATACCAAAGAACCTACCATGTTGTACCAGCTGGTACTTGACCTAATCTGTTTTTAATCACCTTTCCTAGATTATCTGTGACCATATGCAGCTGTGTTCACCAGACGTTTTTTACACCAAAGAAGAGTAAAAACTTCTGTCCAGCATTGTTCAAATTAACCAAGTAAATGACATCTGGATCCCATTCCAATAGAACTATAACTTAATCTAATATATTCTGTTTATATTCCAGACTATTATTTCTAGTGTTGTGTAATGCTGTGTTATATTATAAACTATGGTCTTTAGAACATTATACTTCAAATATATACTCTTCTAACTCAGCTCAAATATTAGATAATCTGGCGTAAGTTAAAGTCTTGTTCAATTCCCAACAATTTGGTAGTTAAGCTAGTTCACTATTTTGTGACAAGATAAATTGGATAAATATAGTTAAGTATATTAGAACACAATCAAATTAATATTGAATTAGAATTCCATTTTTTTTTATTTCTAATGCAGTCCAGTTCTTATGGACTATTGACATTAACAAATCAAAACCTGTTATGTAAGAATCTTTTCATGATAACAATTAAAATGTGACTGCAGTTGAAAGCTTTTTTGATTACAATGGAGACAAAAAGTATCATCAAAGAAAAGAAATAAGTTAATTTTAATTAGATTTATTCTATAGATGTTAATTATTTCATTGTATCTTCTCACCGAGATATACTTTCAGATATTATATACATGTCTGTGGTTCTATTATAGAAAATATCCAGAATCACGTGAAGAATGGTTTAAATTATTGAAACAACAACAATTATTACATGATAGTGAAATAGATAAATGGAGAGAAGTATTGTCAGCATCTATAGTCTTGGTTGATCAGGTACTATTTCTTAAATTATCTAATGATGCATTATTCATATGATTCTTGTTACTATTATTAGCAAACAAACCAGGTTTTGGATATTAAACCTGATATTGATTTGCATGGCTACATATAAGGTTCTAGTGACTGCTTCAGTTGGACAGTAAATAACTAGCATTTTAACTTTATTTAACCTAAAGGGATATAGTAATCTAATTATAAGCTCAGCAGCTATGATGGAGTTGAACTAGCAACTATTTAGATTACTTCATCCCTTAAAACTTTACAATATTTACTCTTCAGATGAAAGGAACATTGGTTCATCTGCATGATAGTTTAGAGGGTCGTTTAAAAAGTGCTACAACAGACAGAAAACCCAACAGTTGACCTTAATATTGAGGGAAAATGGAAAAATGTGATAAAAACTGGAAACATATAGAATGTTCATTTTACTGCCAACTGGCTGGCCGTCTGACATTTACTCCTAAAAATTACAGTGGTTCAATGATACTCAATAAATTTCCCTCTGAAGAAACAGACAATTTCTGAAACTGGTATTCAAAAAACCGAAAGCCATAAATATATCATGATTTTGGTTAATTTCTTGTTAATTCTTAAGATGAACACCAGCAATCTATTCACTATTACTTCAGATACACTGTTTGTGCTTATGACATGTTCCTTTGCTGTGCATGTACACAATTATTGAAGGTATTTTAAAATATTGTTATAATGTTAATATTGTTGTTGATGATATAAAAGAGGTAATTTATTTTAACTACTAGCTGTAAATCATGTCCCCAAGATAGGATTCCAGCCAGCAAATATGACAATGCCATACATGTGTACAGGTCAGGATAAATAATCTAGAGATTTGCATTGAATGCTGGTATTCTGAAGGATAATCATATGACTTCAACTAGTAGTAAATCATTTATTTTATCTTGGAATAAAATGTCATGAAATTTTGGTTTTAATTTTTTTTAATTACCGATAAACTGAAGTTAGCCTTGAACTTCATTAATAAACCTTGAGCAGCATGGACTATCTAAAAAAGGTGCCAATTCTCTTTGCTGAAAAATATATGTTACAAAATACACCTATAACTCTTATTATTAATTATGTTTAACCCATTTGGTTCCAATGTACCACATCAGACGTCCTTTCATGTTCCTTTAGCAATGGTGTACAACATTAATCACATCATGCACGACAAGATACCGCATCTTTAGATACATATTAGTCGTATCTTGGAATGGCCGAAACATAATTTGGACAGAACTCTCAGGAGTATATTTTGAAATTTTTTAATAGTTATTTCATTTATTTTTTAACATAATATTAGAATTGTAAAGTAAAAGCATTATGCTTAGATTGAATACAGTTATAATACTAAATTATGATATCGTGCTGGTCATCATTACATTATTCAGACAATTTGTTTTAACTAAGGGAGGTAATCATAACTTATAAAAAAAAAAGAATTGGTGTTTGCATTGATCATTGCCTTTAAGACACAAATCACACTGCAGTCAAACAATAAAAATTTTGACCTATGATTGATTTAAAGTGAAAAAATATAATGGTCAAAGAAATCTTTTAAGTCATTGAATAAAATGAAACTTAATATTAATGTGATGCTTAATTCACAACATTGTCAGGCTGAGCTACCATATATTTGGGAATATAATGTGCACTCCTTCTTCCCCTTTAGAATATCTAGGAAAAAAACTGCTCACTCACTATAAACCCAAATATACAGTATTAGGAAAATTAAACTGAAGGTGATAACAATTTCAAATCTTTAAGCCATAATTAAATTATAAAATATTGTAGATGATCATAAGTTAAAAAAAAAAAAAGGAAAGAATCCCTTAAGTAGTTTGATTTTATGTTTTTACACAAATGCTGGTCCCCTCATAAAAATATATATAAATTACATCATAATTACAAAACATTACAAAGGGATATAGTAGTCAAATTATTCTTTTTAACTATTCAATGAACTTAATTCAAGATGCCAAGATACTTTTCAGGATGAAAATCTGACATCTAATCTGCTGTTAAGAGTTAAGAGTAATTTGATTATCAAAAATTAAGCCCTATCTTATGTAAGAGAATAATTTGACGACAATATCCCTTTAAATGAGCTCCATAATTTCTATAACAGTAATCAATTGATATAAAATAAATATATTTGAATTGCACAAGCAGAATTTTTCACAAAATTGCACACATTTATTTAGCATTTAAATATGAATGTTTTTGAAGTAGAAATAACACAATAATATCTTTGTTTTCTTTGTTTATGAAAATAGGAAATCAAAGTTGGGTGAAAATTTTATCAAAATTAATGGTAAAAATTCTTAGGAATGTTTTTTCAATTTCAGAGTGAAAATAATCAGTTTGAAAATAAATTAAAATCAGGATACTTAAAGCATCAAATTGGAAAATTGTTTAGTTGTATTATAATTGAATCTGTCTCCAGTTTTCAAAATAAAAACTTAAATATCTTAAAATTGTCTTAATTTTCAAGACATTATAGGTTTTATGGATATAGGTGGCAAATCACGTAAGAACTAACAAATATTTTGTTCTTAGGAATCAAAAAACAAAATCAAACTTGCACAACAATAGGATTTCATGTGAGAAGATGAATTTGCAATATAAATTTTTCACATTCAACAGATATCAGTCTTAAAGATATAATGATATAATACTTTTCAAATTACTTGAGATGTGCAACTGATAGAAATGTATATGTTTCAACAATAAACAAATTTCACAGTTAATGTCTGAAGTCATTAATTCAGTGTTCTCTCTATTGTACACTACATACTATTTTATTGTCCAAATTACTTTTTCTTGTAAAATTTTGATTAATCCAATTCTTGATAATCATGTAAATCAAATTTTGGTATCAACAGTTGTCCAATTCAAGTCATTTGAAAATTAATATACTTTCAATAATTTCAATTTCATTCTCTCAATATAAGTTATTATGTACAATTATGATTTAGGACAAAATATAACAAAAACAACAAGTAAGTAGTATTTTAGAATTGACTTTAATTAAATGATGATAAAAATTTGGTGCCAATCTTGTCAGAAACTGTGAATTGGCTAACTATTAATTTCACAATTCAATTTTATTTCATATTTAAATTATTTGAAGAATATGTTGACAGTTTTGAATGTTTCATCATAATATCATGATAATGGCTGCTAAAGTATAACTGATTTTTGAAGCTTTTACTAATTTTTAGAACTTGCTTTCTTTCAATTGCTATTTGCATAAACAAATCTGTTCTAATTGTATGCCAAATACTCTTCTGTCTTTTAAAAAATGAAATGCTACTTTTTACTATTTCTATTTTAGCACTATCTCCAACATTGAAAAACAGAATTTTACATAAGGATGATGGATTTGACAAAACGTTAAATGGACAATCGATACTGAAATTTTATTTTCTACCTTTCTAATGGGCAAAACATGTAAATTCCAAGAATTTACACTTACAGAATATTTCAATGGAAAGTAGCAAAAATTACCAAACATAGCAAATTAAAGGAAAACATTATAAGATATTTTGGTAAATTTCCCTAAAAAAAAAAAATCTCCATTTTGAGTTTCTAGAGAAAGTAAGAACGATTGATAATCTTTGAGAAACAATAATTTTAAATAGACTTCTGTAGAAAAATATAGAAAATCTCTCACACCAAATACCCATTCTTACTTTGATATGTATAATATTACAACAAGCTAATTGGTAACTAACTTTTACAACTATAAATATTACTATAAATAGCTAATCAGCTAACTTAATAATCTAATACGCCTACTTGATATCTTCATTTATATTAGTCATTGTTTGAAGCCTTCCACCAATCTCTAACTGATAATTTGAATCATTCACAGATATATTGTTGTGACAAGCACTAATTTAGGCAATACTACCCATGGATTTTTTTTTGTACTGTAAAATGAAGAGTGAATATTGTTAAAATAACTTGGTGGAATGTACAATAGAATTCAGGATGCACCAAAATTAAATTCTGTTGCTGTGAACAGAAACTGTGTATGTTTTGCTCTGTAAAGTATATCAACTAATATAACAGCAGAAACTACTTTTAAAGTTCACACAAGCACTTAATGATCAAGTCTACATTTGGTCCAGAATAACCAGTATAGACAAAATTATTTACTATGTACACTTATATAACAACAATAACAATGAGTGATTTTTGCGTAATGTTATCACAGGCATTTTGTCATTTATGGTCAATTTCTGCCCACAACCTTATTCCAATATACAAAATTTATAGCACAAACTGGCAGAAAGAGGAAATAAATGACAAATGTCTGCTTAATATGGACTGTGTTCAACATTTATACCAAACACAACGCAACACGTTTACTGGATGATTTTTATGCACATGATGAATTTATGCACCATTTACCAGTCTTTTTTCTGGAGTCCATGGAAATATTGTTATGAAGATGATAATGATTAAACAATGCATTATGGGTAGGGGTTGTATCATAACATTTCACTATCCATTTCATATCGAGGAGCTGATGATGTAGACGACTGTCTTTGACGATATTTCTTAAATTCATCCCTCAAACGATCAAATCTCTGCTCATTATCATCATACCGATTTGAACGTCTTGGTTTAGGATATGGATTTGGGACATCTCGTCCAGGATGAGCACTTAATTGAGAATAATTTCTCAGAGCATTTAAAATGTCATTTTCTAGAGCATTAATGGAATCAAATTCATAATTTTCATCACCTGATGTGTCTCTGCGATGATTTAAACTCCCATCTAAAAATGGTGATGAATCCTGACTAAGATCTTCTTGGGGTGTTAACAATGAACTGAATGAAAGGCTTCCCTTGCCAAGTCTATGAGGATAGGATCCTGTGCCAGTACTTTGAGAAGTATTTCTACTAGCTATTCCACTAGTACTTGTGGAATCTGGTACACTTTCATCCCGACCACGGATTGGTCTGGTTGGAATGCTACGTGACGGTTCTAGATCTGAAGTATAATAGGGGGCAGCTCGATGCTGAGGTTTTGGATAGTTAGTGACAGGAGATGTGGCACGTAAAGGTTGAGATCTAGGAGATATACCTCTGTTAGGATCTAAGAAGCCATTATCGTCATGGTTACGTGTAGGACTAGTTGAATAAGGAGATCTAGGTACACTTCGAACTCTATCCACAACACCTTGCAAATGGTCTCTAGTATAACCTAGTGGCCTGCCACTGCTGTTACTACTATTCTGATCATCCTGAAGTTGTTGGTGAAAAGAACGTTGTGTTGGGGGAGCCCATGCCATGGGATGATCGCTGTGAGTTGGAGATGCAGGACCATCAAATTCATGAGGTGATTGATCATGAATTCTAGAACCAAGTTGACTTGATGGATAACGAGTCATGGGATTATGAGACTGATTGAATGACGGCATGACAGAACTCATGTCATTGAATGAAAAAGGAGCATCATCAGTTAAGTAGGTCATCTGAGCAGGTTTCATGGAGCTGTGTCTAGGGAAACCAGGATGTTTAGGTGGAGCATTAAATCCTTGGAGACTAAAAACCTCGTCATCTTCATCACTATGAAAACTATTGTAGGGACCATCATAGGCTTGGTTAGGTCGTCCAGAATTTTTTGATATAGTAGCAGGACTGAAGGCTGAAGCTGGACTAGGATGTATGTCAACTCTACTATTCATTGGCTGAGAGCCATGCGATTGTCTCCTTTCAAAATCTGGTATAGCACTGCGACTGTGAACACTTGCTTTTGATAAAGATCTATCCGCAGCTATATGAGGCACATCTATTGGCTCATACCCCCCAGGACCATATCCTCGTACAGGATACGGCATATTTGTTGGGTAGTCCCGCTCATAAAATGTTGGGTCTCGTAAGTAGGAAGGATGAGTTGAGCTGCTATCCATATTAGCTGTACTTGGTAGGACAAACACCCCAGGATCCCGTGTAACTGTTGTTATAACGTCTCCTCTAACATTTGGTTGCCATTGATTCCGTTTTGTCGAAGTTTCACTGAAAGTAGACAAACTGAAGATTAATCTGGATTCTGAACAGTAAAATAAGCTGTTGGGAACTGACCAAAAGATTTAAGTAAAATAATATGAAAAGAATCTTTCTCATAAAAGGGATGTCAAGAGGTTTTCTTAAGGTTCTTATGTTTATCAGGCACACAGATAGTATCAATTTGCACCATTTCAATTTTAAATCAGACGTCTGTGGTTCTTGCAATTCCACTAAATCATAGAACTGAATAGTCCAACTGATAAATATATAATCTTATTGACCATGTTTGAGACTTTAAATTTTATGTCCATTCTAAGAGGTAGTATCCTTTAATGTGTAGATTCCATGGGTGCCCGGACTTATAAAGTCAAAAATGTGCTTTTATCAAAACCAAAACATATTTCAAACAAAATGAACAAATATAAAAAATACAAAATTGAATACAAAATATAAAATTAAGAGGAATCTAAAATTGAAATTTCCTTATTTTCAAACCGAATCGAAACAATAAACACATGACATAAACGAAGGATTGAAAATAATATTTGGGTACGAAAAAAAAATATTTCAAGACACAATAGACAACAAATGTAAAAGTTGATGAACATACTATGTACGTCACCTTTCCTATGATTTCTTCTGGGTAGCATTAATAAATAGTCATTTAATTAGGTAATCATTATTAAACAGAATAAAAAAAAAACAACCTCCTATTAATAAGAGCTCATATTGTCAAGAAATATTGTGTCTTACTAGCTAGAAGGTTGTGAGCATATTGGCAGTATTCTGTCATCAAAACTGCTAGTATTTCTGATACAAATATTTTTCTAGTCTCTGTGAAATGTGATTTTATAAATTGACTTTATCTTGATATATGATATAAGAGTATAAGAAAGTAAACAAGTAACTTACTGTGTGCCTAAATCTGTTTCATCAGCTTTAGAATAATTTACATCGTCTGAAGGAGAGAAAAATTAATATCATATTAGAAATTAAATGGTGTTTAAAATTCAAGATGTTTGCATTGATCGAGCAAATAAAGAATATTACAAACACATATTTCCTTTAGAAATAGAAAAATCATTTTGTGACCAAAATCAAACATTATCGTCTAATGAATGCAATGAAAATTGATTATTTCTCAATGAAAATTACACTGTACTTACTGTATCGACTAACTTTAGTTTTCTGTTCTTTTCTTTTACTATGTATAACAGCTATAACAGCTAATAGGACGGCAACAAGCAAAAACAACAACCCACCAACAATTCCTCCTATTAATGCATCAGGTAATCGAAATGGTTCTGAGGACAAATAAAAAGTATAGAATGAGCTAAAGGCACCATAAACTTCTAATGAAATGAATTGGTGTTATATAAGCTACTATTTTCCATCTAGCAGCTAATGATTAAGATAATTTTACTCATATTTAATGAAAAGTAAAATTCAGACATTATGTAATAAAAAAAATATACAATATATCATAAAATACAAAAATTAACATTGATTAATTTAAAAATGGATTCCCTTTTGATATAAAATGAATATTATTTTTTCTGACACCAAAATTAGTGTATTTGTCCCTAAGTTTTATAAGACATTTTTTTCCAAGATTCACATTTTTCCAATGCAGTGTTATGATCCATCAAAAATCTTCTATTGAAGATATGTAGACAGAAATTTGTAAATTTGCTAAAACAAAAATCCCTGAATTGAGCTCTCACAAATAATCACATGACTGAAAAATGTAGTCTTTTTGTACAGATAAGAAAACAAGACCTAAATATTCTTTAATCAACCAAACATCCACAATATTTTGACTCTATGGTGCAATAAAGGAACCCACCTTTAAACATCAATTTTAGAAAAATTTATAGACCATCATATACACAGTATACTTGTAACAAATTTTAATCAAAAACAATGAACAATATCTGCTAAAACAAGATGATTACGAACAAAAATTAAAAAAACTTAAAGAACTTGGTTAGACTGAATGTGAACAATATAAAAATAAACTGATATTGAAATGAACATTGAATAAAAAAAAAAAATAAACTGAAAAAATGGGTGAACAGTAAACAGCTAAAGTATGAGATGTAATACCAGATGATGATGCAGGATTTCCCCTTCCTGTCCGAGAAACTAGCCATGTTAGAAAGAGAAAAGGGTTTATAATTAATAAGCTTGTTATATAATAATTCTTTCTCCTGTTCCACTGAAAGTTTTCAGAAATATATTAAAATAGGATTTACGAAACCATTATGGCTATTAAAACTTCAAATTCTCTCAAACTTTTTATATAGATAAAATAAAAGATGCAGTAGCCATGACCTCATTGGCTAGACATTAAGATGATTAAATATTTAATATTGTCATGACATATTTTAAGAATTATTCCTTTCCTGTACCTAATCCCTCTCCAATTGAAGACTACTTGTTTAGATTTATCATATACACACTTCCCTCCTAACAGAAATTACAAATGAAAATAACTCATGTTTCAGATGAAAATGGCTAAATTTTTTAAATAATTCCATTGGTTGAATTTACATCAGCAGGATGACAATCAAAGTTAATTCCTTCACCATAGTAAACCTCACCCAAGCCTAAACTATGATAAAACTTGTATAAAATGTTAGAAGATATTGACTTACCAGGTGTAGTATTAAATGAAACTATATTACTAGGTAAACTATAGGCTAAAACACCATAAGATAATACACGTATATCATACTGAGTCCCACGATTTAAATTAGACATTTTCATAGAGAGTCTATCAGATGTTCGTACAACACCATCATACTTCTGCCAGTTTCCGTTTGTACGAAACTCCACAACATAATATAATATAGGCACGCTGGAATTAATTGGTGGTAACCAGGAAACTGTCACTTCATTTTCCTCCATTGCTATAGATACATTACCAGGAGCACTTGGTCTTGGACCTGAAATTTATATAATACAATATGATAGTGATACAAACATAATAAGCTTTTGAGGTTTGTTTTTTGCTTGAAATCCTTCAATGCTGGAAAATGTCTAGTGCATTCAAATGGCCACCAAAAATACATAATATATAGGGCCAATGTGTTTTATAAATCTTTAAATGGCATTTTGTATTTTACATATTCAATGATCATACGTTTTATGTTTCCTTTACCCAGTCAAAATTTCTGTCTACTGTAACCTTATCATAATAGACATTTCTATTCCTTCATAAACAAATAATTCCTTTTAGTCTCATAATATGTAATCTATACTACAATGGATTTCAACTATCAACTTACCTATAGGCTCCTGTATATCAGGTCTATATGTTGATCCATACTGATCTGTTGGTAATGCTGTTACTAAATCTCCCACATAGCCTGTAATATAGAGCAGGCTTTTTTTAAAAAAAAATGGACACAGACAACAATTAATTACTTCATTATAAGTTCAGTAACAATTAATCCAAAAACAAATTCAAGCCATAAATAAATTCCAAAATAACCTTTCAGTCAACATTCGTATCAAAGCAATTTGAAAAAAAGTTAGAATAAAATCCTGACCAAGAAGAATCCTGACCACATTCACAAAGAAGTGAAAGATTAAATCAACCCAGAGAGCAAGATTAGACTTTAGTTATTATTGTAGTAGATGGTAGATAGCAAGAGTAAAAGCATAAGACAATAGCCATGCATAATGTTAATATATCAAAAACCATGCTTTCTAACCATGCACATGCTTGGCATATATTTCTGGAAATCAACATGCAACAAAATGCATAATAATGCCACTCATAATGAAACATCTAGGTATAAAATACATCAACCACACAGCACACCAAACTAAATTGAAATAGTTATATATATATATATACTGATAATTATTGTCTGCCATATATTTACATCAATACAACATAGTAATAAAACATATTCATTGAACTGCAAATTGCCATGATTAGCAACTAATCCTGTAAAAATTGTTTGTCCACAGTCCACTCATCCTTACTGCAATAATGTATTATGGCTGGATTAGTTGAAGCTTAGTCTAGAAATTATCATGGATTCTAAATTAGGTCAATCTAAATGGTTGTGGACTTTGGCCTGATTTGAATCCAAAATAATCTTTAATTTCAGTGACTTTCTGCTTTATTGCTGATTTAAAGCTAGAATTCGCACCAAATTCAAAAAGATCATTTAATTGATAATATGATTGGTTCTTTCAAACAACAATAAATTATCCAATCAAATGACCAATTTGACACTCAAGATCCAGTTAAGACATTGTTTGAAATACTACAAATTCACTAGTTTAATTCTCAATATAAGCAATATATGAGAGAATTTCAGTAGGATTTATACCCAAGCTGTTCAATGTCGATTTATCAGCTGCATCCTGGCCTGCAAGCAAATCAAATGTTAATATGCAAATTATATGCAAATTTATGTGCATATGATTAGTGCTACTATGAGACATGTGAAGAGAAGAGATAAGGGTCACGTAATGCAGTGTAAAATAGGACTACTTTAATTTCACTGAGGTATTTTCATACTGCTGAAATTGTCAATTCCAAAAACTATTAAATTTAAGAGACCCAATAAAAAAAGAGATGAGTTAGTTAAAGATGAAACTGAGTATAATTAAGGCAGAAAGACAGAGTTAGTAGTGTTTTTAGTAAAGATATAGTGCAGATGAAACTCTTTCCATATCATATCATGATGACTTTCAATTTTTCAGATAAGGTATGAACACAGTATAACAGTCATGTGACAGGCTCACTTCTTTTTTTTTTATTAAATGGACTATCTGAACAAGAACAAGATGGTGCAACATGTTATGAGAAGTTTCTGTCATGTGACTGTTACACTATATCCTTGTCAGATACAATAAATGAAAGAAATTGAAAGTAAAGTATTGAAGATGAGTTGTTTATGAGCCTCTATATATAATAACAAAACGTTCAAACCAGCCATTGATCATAATGCAACAACCGTTCATATAGTTCTCCATCCAACAACATCCTCCAAATATTAATAATCAATTTTCCTCTGGAGTAACATGCATTCATAAAGAGTCTAAATCATTTCTTCCCTTGCCATTTGTAGTTAATCCAAACTTCTGTTCATGCAATTTGAAGTTATGTCTTTAATACAGAGTATCAATAATTTTGTTTGTGTATTTTCGACATTTTATTTTTAACATTGACCATATAATGACTACAAGTCATTCCACATAAAGACAACATTAGAGTGAGCTCAATATTTAAGTACTGTTGACAGAAATTTTCTTCTTCACCACCTTATGATCACCCTCTAGGTTACAAATCAAGGTTTCAAAAAAGGTGCTAATCATAGTTAGAATATATTAACAAAGGTTACCATAATTTTCTTTAATTTAGGACTTTTATATAGAAATAAAACCCTAAACCTTTTACTTTAGATCAGAAGATTTCAACAGACTTGGATCCATTTTTGTCTTTCAAGATGTCATTATCACATCAATTTTTAGCATACCTTAGAACTAGCTAGGAAATTGAGTTATATGACTTATCCATCAATGAACAAGAAAGCTTCTCCAATTCCCTAATGAGCTCACTCTACAATAAGCTTACTTACCAAGTGTTTGAGCTCGAACCCGTTCACTGTACATTCCATCACCATGTTCATTTCTGGACAACACCATAAATTCATACATTGTATCTGGGCTGAGTCTATATAAGGTAAAAGCCATAGATTCCTGTGGAACCTGAATCGTTTGCCATTGACTCCAATCACCATTTAAATATCTAAACCTGAAATTGTTTTTCAAAATAATAATGTAACTGATAAGTTTTTTGGTTTTTTGGGGAAACGGTAAAAGTGTCTATTCGTCTTATAATTATCTAATAAACTCCATAATATACTAAATGTTTTCACCTTTATTATTTCATAAGTATTAAAAATGTCTCGTGTGTTATATTCTTAAGCAGCATGGATATCTTTTTGGTTCGAATTCAAACAGAAGTAATTCTCTAAAATAACTACAAGTACTTTGTAATAAACTAATATGGAACTAAGTACATGTATATATTACATACCACAAAACATAATATTGGGGACTACCGCCATCATAAGCTGGTTCCCAAGTAACTTTAGCAGAGAATAAACTAGGTATAACAGTAACATTATATGGTGCATGAGGTGTTGTATCTGAAATAAAAATGGACAATACATAGTTGAACATCCTGAGCAACTAGAAGTTTGTCAATGAGATGCCTAGATCATCGATGCCATACATGATTTATTTTGAGGAATGCTTTCAATTTTTCAAGACTAGGTTTCAGAAGGCTACAGTTCTTTTTTGGGTGCAAGAATTCAAACATTGCAGAAGACAAAATGTTTATTAACTTTAGAATTGATCATCATGATAAGAAATATTACATTTACCAATGTACTTAAAATAACAAGCTCTGCCAAAGACTTACTCATTATGCGTAGTTCTGTTACAGCCACAACAGATGCTATATCATTGGTTGCGATACATTCATAGAAACCATGATCCTCTTTTATTAAATCATTGATAGTTAGGTTACCATTGTTAATTTGTATTCGGTTACTATTCTCAAATTCTCCTTTAGACTGAAATAATTATACAAAATAGCACAAAGATAATTAAATGAGTGCAAAATTTGTCAGGGCAGCAATTCAAATCTATCTACTTTTTGACAATTACAAGCTATATCCAAGGATGTTTAACCTGCTGCATTCATGGCCCTTTTTTGCCCTATCCATCCATTAGACTGATTAATATTTTAGTTCTTCCCCTGATATACAAGGGGAAGCATTTGTATTAAAACTTGAAACGTCTTGCTGAGTTGAGTTGTAAAAGAAAAAAACAAAACAAAAAGTAATGAAGAATACTCACCCTCTTCCACGTAACACGTGGTGTAGGATTACCATCTGCTTTACACGGCAGAGAAACACTATCACCTGTATGTTGTCGAAATTGTGATGGAGGACGAAGAGTAAAGTATGGTGGATCTGAAAATAATATATAGAAATATATCAACAAACCCTACCCACAGTATTCAAGACAGACATTAAACATATAATATCAAATATATTTTCATTATTAATATCAGCTACCTATATTACATTTCACAATAAAAAACCTCATGGTTGTCTGCAATTAACATCTTAACATGGCTCCTTTTTTATAATTGCAAAGTAGATAAATTTGCTTTTGGTAAAATATTTTTTCTAAACTATCAAAAAACTATTTTAGTACATATAAATATCAAATCTATTATTATTATTCCAACAAATAAAAAACAATCAATAAAATTTGAATAAACAATATGAACCGGAACAGTGATTATCAAAGATAAAATATCATTGCAAAATATTATTTGGCGTAAAGTTTGCAAAAGATGTAATGTGGAAAATTGTTGAAAGTGTTCCTAGAATATTGTGAAAAAATATGATTGTATTTCTTACCGGTTGCCTCTGCCAATAATAATAGTAGGCATTAAGAAAATATGACAAAAAATACACAAAAAAAACATTACATATTGTCAATTAAGCAAATTATTGGGTAAAGTATTTTAAAAATTACACATAAAATTAAAATGGTTTGATTTGAAAGAGGTCATGGGAAAGGTTAAATATTGGCAAAATTAAAATAACATTTCCCGAAATTATGATAGAAATACGGTGAAAAAAATTTGAAAATTGTAAATTTTAAATGCAGGAAATAGGAAAATTAAATAAACAAATTTGAACATGAAAACACAACTGACATTAAGTTGAGAAAATTTCATGATTGTTAACATGGAGAAAATCCCAAATTTTATTTTAAACGTGATTGAACTATGGAACAAACTTTATAAAACAAATTATTGTGCTAAAAATGCAAAGGTCAAATTTGCTGGGTTTGGTAAGAGACAGAAAGAAAGGGCAATGACTCTTGTTGCAAAAACAATAAACAAATCATCAAATATTACAGGACAACACAGCAACATACATACAGACAGTCAGGTCTCAAACAAAATCAAATTTGCTAGAAAATTTACAAAATCAAAATACAGAAAAAATAATAAATTTGAGTTTAAAAAGAGGTGCCTCAAAAAGATTTATAAACATTGAAATCTATTGTTGATCAAAACATATAATCAGTGCATTTTTATTTTGAAAAATAAATTGTGCACATAGTTATTTTGACAGCTGACATTTTATAACAACCCGTCACAAAAACAATATCATTCAGAAATTCCAAGCATTCTTTCATTCAAAATTCAGATCAGTGCCAATGCATAAATTTCACAAGTTTTAATATCAAAACATTCCGAGAGTTTTCAAGAGGGTACACATACATAAATTTGACTAAATTCGTTAAAGTCTTTAAAAAATAACCTTAACTAAAATATTTCTATTTCCTAAGACATTGAAATTAAGCTTGATTACAAATTTCTATGCAAACTATCATAACTAAATAAAAATTCTCTATACCACATTTTCATTGGTCAATACTACAAATATTGAAAGCCAATGAAAACACATAACACAAAGACAAAACATTTTCATTGGTCCAAACACAGAAAACAATAACACAAATTCTTTTGGTTGACCAATGGAACAACAACAAATACAGACAAAAAGTTACCTATAATTTGAACCAATGAGGCTTTCAAAAACGTGAAAGCATAAAATTGCTAAAAGTAAAAAGAAACAATAGAAGAAAAGGAGACATACCTCTTACAAATACCTGAACAGGTGGGGATGTTTCACCACGACCTAGTAAACTAACAGGTGTACAGCGGTAGCTACCCGCAGATTCTGCTGATGCATTTGCTACTACTAATGTCCCATTTCTAAAAAGTAATTGTCTGGTATTATCAATATTAATAATGTATTCGTTCCTGGTCCAAATTGTATCAGTCATTGGTGGATTGGCATCAACAGGGCAATCTATTTTTTCACGAAAACCTCGAGCCCATGTTAACTGACTTGGCATTGGTAACACTTTTGGTAAATCTACAAAGAAACAAAAGGGTTTATTACTATGGTTACAAAAGACAAATCAATATTCTGGAAAAGTAAATTGTGGGATGGTCGGTGGAAGGTAAGCAAAGAACAAAATATGAGGGAAAAATATCCTTTACTTTATTACCTAATACTTACATGTTACATTTAGAAATGCTGCAGCCTCATCCTCCCCTATACCGTTGCTAGGGCGACACAGAAACCATCCCATGTCACCCTTGACAACAGACTTTATCAACAAGCTACCATCTGTACTGATTCCAATTCTCTTTGCTTCAAAACCAGATAATGTTCTGACATCAATTCCATTTTTAAACCAGTAATATGTGATGTTATTTGGATAAGCTTCTGCTCCACACGAAAACTTCACCCTTTGACCCAAGATGGCTGTCATGTTTTTCGGGGACAGCATGATATAGGGACCACCTGAAAATACAAAGGGAAACATTGAGAATGATTTAAGATCTAGGCCTTAACCTCTTTTATAATAAACATTTGTGTTGTATCTGATCTTTAAGTATTGAATGCTTCTCTGACCTCTGTAGTCCTTTGACTACCAATATTCCCACCAAAAACCCAAATTATGCCATTCTCTCAATCAATATCATTATTTAATTGAAACAGTCGGAGTAAAACCAACAAATTAAAGCAAGATTTATGGTCTAATCGACCCAGGTTTGATTTTAAACTGTATTGTGTAGGTAAACCGAAATTATCAGACGACCTGCTATCTGTACAAATAACATGACCAACTGGTTTCAGACAACAAAAAAACTACTATTTGTGCTATTGTTTAAACTGTACATTAACACAACTGTCTCGAGATGTGACAATATGGCTATTTAACAATCCTAAACAAATACGGTAGTTTTTAAACACAAATACAAATATACTCTGACTGTCCACTGGAACTTAATCAAACTAACAGCATGTCAATCTGGCAACTCAGATCATTTAACACAATCCTTGATGGCATCATTCTCATGCCATTACTGACGCCTGATTCTGAAAACTCGATGAGGTGAAATTTTTTTATAATTGAGATATAATTTATGTGTGTTTGACTTTTAATTCTGCTTTCTTATATTCACATGATACAGTCATCCTATTTCTCGGTCTAGAGTAATGCTTTAGCTATCCTAGTACTTTCTAAATTAAGTATATACAGAAGTCAGAAAGTTTCAATGTTCCATCCTAGATAATAAATACTATAGAAATCGTTTGAAACATTCATTCTGATGGGTTCAATAGTTTACTGACAGATAGACAAATGTAAAACTCTTGATATTATTATGACATTGGTGAGTCGAGTCACAATGTCCTTTCAAAGGATCTTTAAGGTTTGATAAAGACTAATAAATACCATGTTGAATGATATTTTTTGGGCTGTTCAATTTTAACTGATTATTACTAATATCAAAATAATGTGAAGTCAGGCTATCTGAAATCCTTTGGTTTCTTGCAGCCTCTGGCAGTCTTTATGACACCTCTCATTTTTGCCGTATGTGCTACAATAAGGCTGACTGTTTCTGTAGATATGCATTAGATGCAGAATGATGATAACTGACTCAGATCTAAGATTACGTGACTATGCTTATTAAGGTAAGATAATATAAGATATATGACATGTTGATATCTAATATGATTAATATTGACACCAGTCAAGTAGAGATTATAACACTTAACAACAGGAAATAATATTCAGTTATCATAATATTCTATGGGCAAAATATCACAAATTCTGAAAAGTGCAGAAGGTGGTTATACAAGTAGTCATGATGGAGCCCTAAAAAATAGGTATATTCAAAAACAAATGTCAAAACTTTGTGACTGCTTTGTTAGGTTCCTTTTGTTACTTATTCATTTATCTTCATACCACTTGCCAAGACTATTAACATAAAACAGCTTGCAGTGTACACTGGGAGAAATCATGTTACCTTTTACAAATGTGCATTTAACTTGCTGAGCCAAAATAGCTCATTACAATGTGTAGAAAGCACACTATGGAATTTCATAAGTTTTAATAGGTATAGCAGGTACATAAATCTAGTTCAGAGCCAAATGCCAATAACATAAACTCTTCTAATCATATGTCTTTAGTCACTCACATCCAGCAACATTTTATGATGGTCATCAAGTAAAGTTTAGTTACAATGACAATAACTTGAATGAGTTTCACACAGGTACTTCAAAGATACACCAAATCTGAAGGTAAACTCTAATGGCTAGACATAGGTATTGACAGTTGTTTTTGGGGCATGTCCAGTATGTATTGGTGTTCAAGTGACCAGTAGAATATAGAGAATAGTAATGGTATGGGTAGATTACTTTGTCAATATATCAGGGGCTAGTCAATAAATATCACTTAAAACATGGTATATGAAGACAATAATAGCTTTACTTTGGTTTATTGAAACACACAGATCATAAATAGACATAGTATTATCTTCCAATATCTTAACTTGGAGGTGTGAGACTTAATATATATATGTTGGTGTTTTCTCCATTCTTAACAGGTATCTCATAAGTCACATATCAAAAGATGATTGGAATTGTAGAAATGGAGTTTATATCTTGTATTAAACAGTGATGCCATGCAGTATGCAATGGGGGAAATTTCATTGTCCCATTCAAATAATTAGATGTTTGGTATCCACTTATTCAGAGTAAAACTCTGATGAATAAATACCCAAAGAACTATAAGTTTACTAGTTATTTGAACTAGATGTAGATTACTTGAAGTAGTAATTTACTTGAGCTATAAACTAGCATTAAGTACATTCTTATTACACTTATATTGTCTTTACAGTACTTTACTAGTATTCTACTGTTTATATAAAAATCAAATGGGTTTTCAATAATTACTGGACTCAAGAGACTTTTTCATTATATCTCCTCATTGTGTACTGCATGTTGTCTTCCAAGAATTGTTTCAGGTTTTTTATATCGGGTTTTATACATATGACAGAAATTTGGTATCTGAGATACTGGGTTTGGTTCTTGAGGATGACATATTACATTAGAAACAAGCAGGTAACAAAGAAAATAGAGCAATTACTTAGATAAACCTGGAATCTAGATATAATTACACCAGACATGCCTTGGTTTAATATACTTAAACTTTTCTATTGCCAAACCTTCTATAAGTCATTCACCGTTGGTTTCTCTTGGTCTTTTTCTATTTTTCATAATACTGGGGTCATTATGTGTATAATTTGTCTTTAATTTTCGGAAAAGAAAAGCCATAAATAAATTGCAACTTGGCAACAATACTACACTTTATAACTCCCAATTTTAAAACACCCAAATATTTTGGCCAATAGTGCATATAGACTCTTGTATTCAAAGCCATGAACACAACATGAATCCTAGAATTGAATATACATTACCAGATGTTGATTAGTCTGGTACATACAGGGTGTGACACAATCTAACTCAATAACAAACATGAGTCTTGCCAGTCCTCATGGAAGTAAGAGTTTAAACCTGATACAAGATACATTATATATAAGTTGCTATTGTTACGGTTAATTTACTAGAAAATGTGAAAAATGTTTCTCAGTAAATCTATCAGTTTACTATTTCACTTTCATCTTAGGGTGTACCTCTTGAGAAGGACTAAAAAAACCATTCAACAACTTCATTTGCTTACATGTTTTTCAATGTGTCCAAAAGTACATTAAACATTATTTGACTGACTAAAAAGGTTTGATTTGTCTGCACAAATTTACTTTATTAAGTTCAAGGCACAGCCCTTTAATGTAGCAGCCCTAAAAATGTAATGAAATTGTGTTCTGCTTCCTTCTTTTCTCTCCCTTAAAGGATAATTAATACAGACAACATTATGCAGTGTGCAATGAGGGAAATATGTGAAGCAGGAATAAGGTTGTTTCTACTTTTTTTTGTATATAAAAAAAAAACCTAGCCCCTTCCTCACTGCTACCATTACCCAAATACCATTATAAGCTAATGAGACTGTCAGAAAGAGATACAGAGTACAGTATAAAGATATCACTATATCAAATACCACCAGATAACATCTAATGTATTTATAACATGATATCAAATATAATTCTTTCACAATATCTCTCTATAATTATCATATATCATTACACTATAGGTTCATCTCTTTATTTAGGGATCAGATATTACTTACCCTTCATTGTAATTAGGTTTTCATGACATAGTTTTATATTGGAAGTCAATCAATCAGTGTAGAGAACTGCTGTGTATTTCAATATGTATAACTATGTTATTTTTGGCAGAAAGTACTTAGTATATAGCACTTTACAGCAAAACACAAAATAAAGAACGAAAATACAGAAAAAACAAAGTATAGTGTAAATTGCAGAAAGTACTGGGTATAATGCACATTGCAGCAAATACAAAGTAAAGAACAATAATCTTGATTCCAAGAGCAAATACATTCACAAAATTCATTTGACCAATAATTTGAAGTTGAAAACTGTAGTTAATTTATGTTTTTACAACTATTAGAGGTGTCAAGATATTTGTTTCACATTTAAGGTTTAACCTTAGTTTTAATTTCAAGGTTATCTTATCTGTAAAGGTCTCTGTCTGCATTACTAAAGTGGCTTTTACCCAGCTTTTACAACATAAAATGTTAATTGAATGGTGAATAAAATAAAACTATAACCAAACAAATTTCTTAAAATTGTCAGCCAAAACAGACTTGGCAGACAAAATCTTGAGAAATTTTCATGTCATTGATGCTTATTCAAGTTGAAGCTGTGCTTCAGCAACGTGTGGTGTATATCAGGTTTACATCGGAGGAAGGGGGGAGAAATACCTTAGATCGCCAAATTTCTAACATACTTATGAGATTCTTGCCCGAAAAACTTGCTTACGGGGCTTTAAGTAATGCACAAGAGTGAAGAGTTGAGCAAAAGAATATTCTGCAGTACTAAGACTTTGGACTCATATCAACTGATGGTTTTTACACCAATATTAATGTAAATATATACTAGAGCCACTCGTGGCACAGAGTGGGTCTTTGCAAATGTAGCAATTTGCTAAAGACCCCGAAAAAATCAACCATCGACGATAATTAGGTCAAGCGCAAGAACAAGTCTAAAGTTGATAATTTTTTATTTTTTAGAAGATTCTAATACCGGAAGTAGACGTCAGACCTCACAAATGAAAGTATCAGCAGATAGCCAAGGTCAATGACCTTTGATCTTGTAAAGGAGAAGGTCTAAAAAGGTCAAGATCAAGAGATATATGTCATCAAAATTTCTAATTGCATACGACTATAAAACCGGAAGTTGACATAGGACAGCAAATATAAAAGTATAAATAGATAGCCAATGCCAATGAAGTTTGATCTTAGAAAGGTCAAGGTCAACAAAGGTCAAGGTCAAAAATTGAAAATTTTGAATTTCCAAAACCTGTTCCTTTTTTGAACT